GCAACTTTCCCCCTAACTCTTCTGTAAACAATACACTGTTCCGTTTACTCTGCCTTCCCATGACTTCTCCCATATACTAAGGAACCGGGCCTCGAAGATTGTAGTTGTTAGGATTAACCGTCTTAGCCTTAACTCCTATAATGTCCCTTTGAAATCCACAAATTTGTGCAATCGCACTTAATCGTAGCTGACCTAGTAATACCACCCCCACTATCACTCAAGCCTTCATCTGGACCAAGTAATAATGCCTTCTATTTTCTCATTTCCAAGATACGCGGTTCCTAGACACCTATGTTACTACACAATCAGTCTGCTTTCAAATATATACTGTAGTTAAGAGATTTCAACAAATATAAAGCGTGAATTTCCAATAATTCGTCCAACTTACCCGCGGACCTGAGCAGTGTCCCTGCATTATCTGTTCGGAAGTTCGCCTGACCCCAGCAGCCGTGCCTCGTCAGCATAGCATTATAGACCTCCGGAGATGGGTCCTGTTCGTCCTTTACATTCTTATAAGCGACCTCCTCATCCTGTGCACTTCCCACGTTCCATTCAGCCGTCCGGTTTCGGCAGTCTCCTTCAACTGCTGCTGCCTCCTCGGCTACGGCCGTGCCTTCCATCATTGCATCCTGTGGCTGCGATGACGGCAGTAACCGTTGGTGTTCTTGCTTGCCTGCCTCCTCCACCAGCGCTGAGTCCCACTTCAGAGGAGGGTAAGTCCGATTGGTCACAAAACAGGCCCTGTTGTCAGATGACGACGTACTGTCGGCGTTGTGGACGCCAAAATCGCCTAGCTGATAGGGGAACTCGCAGTTCCAGGAGTCCTGTCCTCCTGCCTTACCAGACTCCACTGCGCTTTGTGCCTCTTCTCTGCTCAGGCAGTTTATTGGGAGGCCAGCATGCTTGAAGGAGGCCTTGTGATGGAAGGCAACAGCAGCTGCAGCAGCGGCCGCGATAGCTGCTGCCCGTTGGGCTCTGGAAGTGTAATTCGGGGTCACTCGGTTCACTGGCTCCGCC